TTAAGACATGTTTGTAATTTAGATAATTGATTAATTTCATCGGGCTTGATCGATAGATATAACTGCGTATCATCTGCATAGCAATGGAAGTTAATGGAGTGATTCCTAATAATGTTGCCTAAAGGGAGCATATATAAAGTAAATAGTATTGGTCCAAGTACAGAACCTTGTGGAACTCCATGAAGTGTCATTTCCTGTCTAACCCTGGTGGCAATATAACTTTTTTCACAGCAGCCATTTAGCCATGAAATAGTACAGTAAACACAAGTGTTAATCGGTCCCTCCAGGATTTCATGGGCTTCTTTTTGTTGCGGCCTTAAATGCCTGATTTCCAGGCAGCTTTTCTAAATAAAATTCTCATGCACGTTGCAATGTTTTTAGGCATGTTTATTTGTTTAAAATTCATTAAATATCAAAGGCAAGTTGTTCCAGTGAGATTAAAATCCTTAGTAGTATGGTGATGTATAGCTCAACATTTTGAATGGGGACTGATTGGTGAAACTCGCTGGAAACTACAGTAATCTGTCAAATTTGTGAAAAAGTTTTGGTGATTGGACAAATTTGCAAAGCTGTGCAGATTTCACAAGGATTGGTTGAATTTGGGTAAATTTGCAACTTCCTGAAGGGACTAATTAAGGTTCCATTCCATTTAGAACCTTTCCATTGAGCCAACAAGGAGAATAGCAGCACCCTGACTCTAACCTGAATGGAAAACAACTTCTCTTCCCGATACCAGTCACCTGGATCCAGTTGTGTTTGGTCAAAAATCAGTAGCCAGTATGAGTTTGTACTTGTAGTTTTACTTGTCTTTCCAAGAGGAAAGATCAAATTCTTCAAGACAATGAGAAAAGCACAAAGAATGAGAAATCGGCTATAAAAAGAACAGGCAAGGTTTTATACATATAACATGAAGAAAAAACAATGTGATGCTACAGTGGCCTACAAACAGAATTGGTGTGTCATTCAGTGTCAAACAGCATGCCGTTACACTGCAGCGCAGTCAAAGGAATACAAATGCAATACAATCAAATGTCAGGATGTAAGCCATAGTTCTTGTATGTGGTCAACAAACATTCTTTTGCAGAAACATTATAATATTTCATCAAAATCAAAGATGTAGCTCAGGTTTTTAAAGGACAGGTTTTAGAAGAATCCTGAACTAAGAGTCCTTTCAGCCCATCTGAAGAGTCAGTGAGGCCAGGTTAGGGTGTCTTTTGGTCATTGGATTTTCTTTTCAGAAACAGGTTTTGAAGATGAACTTAAAAAATGGTTTGATTTTCATATTTTTCATGTTTTATAAAACAAAATAAAATCACTAGAAAAAAACAGGCCTGTGTTATTGTATTCTGAGACTGGATGTGGCCAGATGTAGGACTGCCAGTTTTGATTAAGCTCAGGCTAACACGTCTTTTGGTCTACTCTGATATGACTTTAGACAAAACAAGGTCTTGTCATCTGCAGAAATCCGTCATTTACAAAAACCTGGTCCAGCCAGCTGACACCTAGATTTTCACGCACGTCTATTAGCTGTTACACCTCTGAGTGGCAAAAGACTTAAATATTACACATTATGTATTTCTCAGATTATATATTATGATTGAAACTCAAGTCTTATTAAATGTGAAAATGAGTCCTGATTTGTCAAAAAAACTGTTCCATGATAGAAAATTAAAGGAAAAGTCAGCTGATATTAACATTCATGATTTCCTCGTATTTAAATATTTGCTTACATTTCCAATGGATTCCTTTTGATATTTTGAGTAAATTCCCTGTTCAGTTTTTGAGGAAAAATTATTAATCGTATAATGTAATGTTGTAATGTTTATTTTTTTCAGGTTTTTGCAAATGAGCCGAAGGGTCTGTCCGAGGT